CCCTAGAATTTAAATACTTTGTTCCTGTCTGTTTTGGAGCCTTCTGGAGCAGCACTCGTGCTCCCCCCGCCCCCTTTTTTTTCTTTTAAAACCACTAAACGAAAGCAGATATTCTTCTGCTCTCACTTAACTCCCATTCGAGACTTAAGAGAAAAAATGTGGCAATATGCAACTACAAGAGCTAGCAACATTATACCAATTGTTTGCTTGTGATATCTAAAATGTAAGCTTTTGCACCTCATTTCTCAACTTTCAGGGTGTTGGCACATTTGCAAATTTGAATTCTAGTTTTCCCCATGTGCCTCAGTCCACACAACCACCTCTTCCTCCAGCAGGCAGAAATACAAATACAGTAAGAATTTTCAGGTTAAAACAACCCCACTGTGCTCTACAACCCTGCCAAGAAATGGACAGGACCAAAATTTATAATACTCAGATCTCACTCCTCTATGGTCTCTTACCCTTATTAATAGCTGTATAAAGTTTTAATAGATTAATACACTACGTAGGCTCGATATCTCTTGTCAAAGCATGAATTGACAAAAAGAAGTGAAACTAATGTCATTAGTTAGGATGTTAAATGAGAAACTAACAAAATGTACTGGCAAAACAAATTCCTTGTTACTAAAAAACCCCTGCAATAATCCACACGGATAAAATACTAGAAAAGAAAACATCAGGACATGTCAAGCTAAGCAAAGACCTCTCTGAAAGTACCTGACTAGTAACACCACTTGTCTGCTTTTCAACAAACTTAACAGAACTTTTGGTATCTCACCCATAATTAAGTTCATTCAAGTTTAGGCAAAAAATAGCCAGAGAATGAAATACTATAGCTCCTCACTGTAGGAAAAGCATTTGCAGGAGCACCTAGGCATTAGACTTTGGAGAATCTGGGGGTGGGCGAGGGAAGCAGTTATAAATGCGACAACCACTGGGAAAAGATTCAATTGGAGCTCATGTCTTAAAAGTCCTGACACGATCTGGTTCTTACAGGCTTTCTTGGGTTTGATGTTTTGATACTCTTTGCCTTCTTTCTTAATGTTAAAACTACACTATGTGCATTTCACAGGAGGAGACAATGACCTAGAGGCTGTTTGACTTGCCAGCCATAACAACTCAAATGAATGGCAGATCCAGCGTTTTGGACGAAGCACTCTTAGACTTCCAACCCCTGCCCTCAAGCATGTGTCCTCCTGCTAGACCACGCCTGCAGTTTACTCCTTTGTGCTACCCTGCATACAAGTTTTAATATTCATTCAAAAATCATGCTGAAGAAATGCACCACTACAATCACATCCTCTAGCACAGACTGCAATCCAAGGGTTTATTGCGCATGTGGATTATTCCAAGTGGCTTGCGCACTGACTCACAATCAAGAAACGGCCTAAGCTCTTACCAAGCTATTTAGATAATGAAAGAAGAAAGATACAAAACAGATTCCATGGCCAAAAGATGACTCACAGATCATCTGTGGTACTTAGCCATTCTGAATTAGGGGACAAGCGGATTTGGCCCCAAAGGATGTTTCAAGTTCCTGAGGATACTGGATGGTGACAGATAAACCAAACACCCGGCATCCTGTTTTATTTATCCCCACTGCAGTCTTAACTATCTTGCAGATCTGGCAGGTCTTCTAGAGTTTCACAGAGTTCTGTGTTTTCTTTTACACACTACTCTGTGTAAGCATTACTTAAATACCAGAGAAGGGGAAGATGTAGTCCTCTTCAGAAAAGAAATACAGCAAAGCAGAGGACAATACAGGGCATCTCTCAACAGGCACTGGAAGGCTACTAGGTCACTAAATACTCAAACTTTTGACAGCATTGTGAATGTATGTGGCATGGCAGCAGATAAGAGAAAAAATGTGGCTGTCTTCCCAGTGACCTTATGGACTGACAGATGGGACAGCAGTTCACAGTTTCATACTTTGCTTTCCCTAACATGGATGTTGGGAGAAGGCAGAGGGGATGAGCTTCCCAAAAGAATCTTAAGAGATGTGAAGGACAACACTCTGAATGCCATTCCATGCACAAAGGGTCCAACCAGTCATTCCAAAAAAGCCAAATTCCTCAAAATTATCCCAGCATTTCTTAACCTCCTACACATGGGAAGTCTGCATTTTGCTGGGATTCTCTGGTCAGAATTCTTTAGTCATCGTCTGCTCAGATTACTCTGCAGAGTGGCATCGCCCATCAGGCACTGCCAGGCACTCACTCACTGGCTGTTTGCACCAGGCACCGTGAGGAAGCTGGCGCAGGAGCTGCGATGTTCGGAAGATTCAATCTTCTCACGCTTTGGCAAGCTGGTCTCTGTTAACTCCACATCTGCTGCAGGGAGGTGGCAGCAAGCCGTCCCTAGCTCCAGCTTGCTCTCAGGTCAGTGACCTTAAGGAAATGGGGGTCCTCACAGACCATAGTACCAGGGGCTATATAAGTATGTAAAACTTGAAGAAATATGGGAGAAGCACTTGCTAGAGATACCACAGTAACATTACATTAAAAATCCAACTATTTTCTATGCTGCTAAATAGTAACTCCTTTTTCTATGAAAGGCCAAAGGAAATTTGCTGGATTACTATTGGGAATATAAATGCATTTTCAAAGAAAACTAGGTATCAATCCCAGAGGCCATTCCCCATTTTGCATCCTTACCCTTAGACATCTGCCTAATCTAATCAGTCAGCCTGGGCTGATAGCCAGTGTTCTTCCATTACAAGTTGAGCAATCTTATCAACAGCTGGGTAACCAAGTGTAGCAAATGCAGGACTAAGAAAGTGACAGGGCCTGTTTCTTGAATGAAAAGATACACTGATGACGGCTCTTAATTCAGAGACTGGATACCCATTTAGGCTTGATTGTCAGAATATGCTGGAAATGTCCAGTCCAATTTTATCACTTACTTCCCCAGCAGGATCCCTGACACACTGTTTTTAACCAACACTGTGTAAGAGGCTTTGTTCACTGCTTTATCTTAATTTTGAAAACTTTAATTGAGTTTGGCACGTACATGAAGTCTGAAGCTGACAGCTTGATTGCTGCCACCACCTTGTATTTTCTCCAGGAACATGAGCAGAATCTATCTGTAGCACATAATGCAGTTCTCCACATGGCCTCTCGGCTAACTTCCCCATGGAGAGGACATTAGAAAGCAGAGTCTAGACACAGGTTTTTGAGCTGAGAGCTGCAGTAAGCATAAACAGCATTCCCCACAGGGCTTTTTACCACACTGTCTTTGGGACATCTCTGCACTTTCGGTACAGAGACATTGGAGCTGGGTTAGTATACGGTAACCCAGCACTAGAAATGTCAAGAGCGTGAAGCAGACACACAGTTGCACCAGCTCCAATATTTGAAGCCTTAACTAGTAACTTAAAAATGCACTTTTTGATTGCAGTCTACAATCAAAGGTAAACTACAAATTTATCTTTTTGGTCTACAAGTCAAGGTAAACTATTGAGCATGCAAAGCACCTCAGCTCTACGGCTGGTTGAAGATAAAAATGTAGACTCTGCTTTGAACTCCTGCTGCCCGGCTGCAGAAACAAAGTTTCTGTTCACAAGCTTCTACTGTTACTCTCTGAACTGCACTAACTCCGGCCCAGTTTTCAAAGGACGGAGACATAGGCAGTACTCGTAGATATTAAAGATATTTGAGTCTGCAAGGTGCAGGAGCATAGAAGAGCCTTATTTAGAAATTGCATCTGGAGGGGGGGAAGCTCCTCATGTTTAACTAGAGGGAAGGGAAAGCCTGGGAGTCTCTTGCTGAGGAGCAATCTCCACAGCTGCAAGAAGCACTTGTGGCATTGGAGGCATCAGTTGGAGAATGAGGCCTCCAACCTCTTTATCAGGACACAGACTGGACTGAATGGGAAACAAGGAAATCCAAGTCAGCAACAGTCTCCTTGGTTAATGCAAGGAAGATGAAAAGTCTAATTGTCTAGGAGGTAGAATTCCCAAACTGTAACCCTCCGCCCCCATCCCCCACCATCAACCCTCCATGCAGGCTGCCAAGTCTTTAAGCCCCACTGCCAGGAAGCTGAGAAGTCAAGCTAATAAGAAACTGAACAGTTTTTCAATAAAATATCTTGCTAAAACTAGGACACTTCTGCAATTTTGTAGAGGATGCTGAATCAGCACACTAACACAGAACATCCTTGCAGGGGAAATTTCTCCCCAGACCACTGGTACACTTAGTAAATCCTAGACAGTTAGCCGACAAGACAGGGAGATTTCTCTCAATATAACACAGTTTTAAAAGGCAAAGTAAAATCAAGAAATTAAAACCGCTTGGGATTAACACTGCTCTAAAGAATGAGTTCATACCATCTCTGCTCCCAAATTAGACTGTTACTTTAAGCACTACAGCTAAACTCATTATATATTCTTACCAGCAATATGCTATTAATATCAGACATGAACATCAGCCTTGCCTTGCACAACAGACAATGGGGTTTTTTTCCATTTTAGAATATTAATTCCTTTGTAATGCAGAAAATTTTAAGACTTTTAAAGCATTCATAAAGTGTCATGAAAAAAGCAATATAACTAATCAGGAACAGCAAAAACGGAAACAAGATTAAGATACTGCAATTTAATTTCCTAGAAAATAATGTGCCACCAGCTGTGTAAACTTTCTTGTAGCTAAAACAAATATTCTGAAAACAAGCAGGCAGCTGATTTACACTGCACCATGTTTCCTCACCAGTCAAGCCTCCCAAGGAAGCTCTCGAGTTGTCTCTTAGACTGTACAAAGGCTTTAAAGACAGCCATACAACAAACTGATTTGATAAGCAGGATTCTGAGCAATCTTTATGTTCAGCTCATTAACTCTGAGCTCCTGCTGACACATCTAGTACTCCCGCCACATATACTGTATGCTCCCTGAACATAACAAATAACCAGCACAGCATGCACTATTCTTCTGACATACCAGACACATGCAGACTCTAGCAGCTGGACTCTTTGGTTTTCTCTCCTGAAGAGAGAGGCAACGGCCTACCTGCTGATTCCAGTAACAGGCACCATGCATTCTGTAGAGTTTCCTCTTCTGGAAAGTATGAAGTGGCCTTGTTCGGGCAGATGTGCTCACATTAGCCATGGAGAGAGATCTTAGTCTTGTCCTGTCTCTCCTCCTTTTCTTGATGTGCTGATGATCAAGCAACCAGCTGCTCGAAGAGGATACCTCTCTGTTGTCTGAAGCTCTGCAATTTCATGATTAATGGGGGGAGGAAATAGAAAAAGTTACATATGCTCCACATGCACAAGCCAAGATTTCATACATCGGTGAGCATTCTAAGAGAATTTTATAAACACTAAAATGTTTCAGCAGGCTGTTTCAGGAAACCATGTATGTGCTTTGTTTGCTCTTTGATTAATTCTATGTTAGGTCATGAAAGGAAGTTTATCGTTCTTGTTCACTTTTCTGCTCACGGAAGCAAGTGTCAAAATGAAGTTAAGCCATCAGGCATATAATGATTTTTGGTTTTTCCAAATTCAAGAACTCTAACACTTCTAACACCTATGTGTTTCCCTACAAACTTACATTCCATTCATGACAGCAGTCACGCTAACACAAAGGAGACCTAGAATCCTGCCCTAATACTTTTGAGATTTTCTAGTTTTGTTCAAGGACTGAAACTTAAGTAAAGCTTTACAAACAATGTCCATTCAGCGCAGGGGTTGCAACTCACTGTGAAGAATTGTATTGAAATTAGGAACTCTGCACACTTAACTTAAACCAACACAAAGCCACTGAACTTCACTTCCAGGGACGTGCCAGTAGAGCTCTCCAATAAAGCCCAGGCCCAGCCTGGGAGAAGCTCTCGGGGAGGAGGGAAAGCCTAGCCTGTTTGTCTGTCTTTAAGACCTGGAAGCTGGTTAGACACAGACGAGTTGGCAGAATGCAAGCTCAGCTCCAGTCACAGTGTGACAGGGTCTACATGGACTCATGGAAAGCTTTGTTTTAACATTAAATCTCAATCTTATCTGCATTTCCCCAAGTCTATCCCTTTCAAATCCCCCTCAATGTTATACCATCATCCCTCCACAACCTTACCTACACACACGCTTGCTGTACTCATGTCCTTGGTAATACATTATGCAATCACAAAAGTTATGTGACAACACAGGGCCAAGAGCAGTAGAAAACCCTATACGTATAACAACCTTGGATCACTGTCACCAATCTACAGCCTGTCTGCTCACCAGAACAGGGAACACTACATGGTTAAGAATTCAAAACACCCTCCATTCGGGTGGGAATGACTCAATGGGAAGAATGCACTTCATTTTTATAGGTATCCTGATCTTATTTTGTTGCTGTAGCAACATCTGCCTGCAAAGCTGAAGGCTTGTTGCAAAAAGCACTCAAGCATGGATTTATTTTTACAATACTGAAGACCTTGACTACAATACTGAAGACCCTCTAAACTGCCTGAGAAGTGCAAGTCTACGGGATATTTTGGCCTTGGTTCATAACAGGTCATCTATCTGCACAAATCATTATTTGCTCTCATGAACTTTATCTGGCAAGTCACAGCCTTATTAGTAAAGTTACAACACCCAAGAAAACATGAAAATGAATTTATTACAAGGCCATTTATCAATCTTTTTTGACATGTAGTATTCTCCTAACAGTACATTTTATTAAATAGAAGTGCTTGTTATGAGAGTATGATTAAACACCATCCCATGCTGTGCTGGTGTGGTAATAAGGCATAATGGGCACGAATTAGATGGCACAACGTATTTAAAGGAACGTTAGTAAGTGCCAAGAAAAAGCCCCAAAGTACTGAAGTGTTACATTCTTAATGCTAACACCAAATTTTTAAGACTTGAGAAAGAAATAAAATGTTTAAAGTCTATACAAAAGTTTTCTTAAAATACTTTCTCTGAATTCTCAAAAACAGTTTCTCTGTAATTATGTGCCTCAAAGTCAGATGGGGCCAAGCTCAACTTCTGGAATTCCACATACCTCCCTCTTACATGAAAGACAACTTGGACAGGTAAATTAGAACAAAGAGCCCTTCAGTCTGGCTCTTCAACTTCTGTGATTCCTGCCTTTGTTCTGGTGGTCTGCCCTGGTCCTTGATAACCTCTCTTCAGTCTCTGCCAGCTGCTCTGTTTACCCTCCTGTGCCTCACAGTTACGCACAGCTCCATTTTCAGATGAAGCAGAGATCTAGCTCTGTGGTTGGACCTCCCGTACACAGCAGCATGGTTTTCCTGCCACTTGTGTAAATAGGCTTCCCAGTCAAGGTTTGAGTTATTTGTTTATTTTGATGTTAGTTTGGGTGTTTTTCAAAATGTGGTTCTACAGAAGAGCAGAGATGAACCATCACCAGATGTAAAATTCACAAATTTGCTGAAACACTCCTTTCAAAGCTCATAGGTTGGCCTTTCTTGCACTGTAGCCTAGCTAAAGAGCAGAGACCTTACTCACAGATACACACATGCACAGCAAGCCATCAGACAGGCACTATCTGTACTGAAATAATGAACTTTTTCATTCTTCTCTCCTGATAAGAAAGTGGTTATCACTAGCTTAAGGAACTGCTTCTATGAGCATTTACCTTCAATGCATCTGGCTAATCTTGGCATCTAGATTAAATTGAACAAAGTAAAGCTACATAGAAAAAGGAAGCCACTAATTAAATGAGACCTTGACAAATGGCAATTCAAGGTTACCCACATTTCATCAGCCAGGAACCGTACATGCACCACCACTTCCACTGGGTATAGCCCAAGTAACCAACTGTACTGCAACCCCATGATTACCAACCTCAAAGCATCTCACGCTTAGACCTACTTTAAACATGGACTATTAGATCTTTCACATCAAGAGCTTACAACCAATTTCAAGAATTTACTTAAGTAAAAGGTGCTATCATCCGTTTTTTTCCCTCTTCAAAAACAAAAAATCACCTTACTTTCCATTTGATTTTGATTTCTACCTTCTCAAGTACTTAATAGTCAGAGTGAGCTCTAGAAGGAGTGAGGGGAGAAGCAGCCAAGAAACAAAGTTAACTGTATTACGTAACTGTCTCAATTAATTGCACACAAAACTACAACAACAACAAAATACAACAAAAAAACTGAAACACACTCAAAAAAACAAGAAGTAGGAGGCAGTGAATTTCCCTCCGGGATTCTCATGATAACCACTCTATATAGTGCTTAATTACCATCTTTAATCAACAGTACTTTTTTGCAGATTTCAAAACACTTCACAAGAAGCAAAAAATTAACTATTTAACTGATTTTTAAAATGACATAGTCTAGAAAGGTCTCAAGTCTCTCAGATTCCCTTCCAACACCTAACTCACCAACTCCAGTTTAGAGCTACACCACTGAGAAAATCTTCCAAGTCTTCCCATTCTTCTTTGGGCTTTTATAGGTCATGAGTCAAAACCAACCAGCCTTAGAGTACTCCATGAGCAAACAACTGTGTTGCTCATAAAATGGAAACAGGACTGATTTTGGACAGTGTCTGATAAATCAGAAGAGAAGTGGCTCAGAGTTACATCATTAGAGTCCCTCATCATGAAGTCAACTTCATACACTCCTAAAAACATTAAAAGCAGGAGCCCTTCCTCAACTGTTCTGTGAAGAAGTCACAGATTCAAGACACAGCCTTCTAACAAACTAAATTTCTCTCTTCTTCCACATACCCATCTCTATTAGCAACTCCTATTTCAGGGCTATTTTTATTCCAAAACTCAGAGGAATCTTCTGATTTTCCCCCACATTATTTGTAAACAACTGATACATCAGGAGCATGAATGCTACATGACAGGACCCCTTCATCCTTAAATTTAGGCCACAGTCACACAATCGCTTTGGAACAGAGGGCAGTTAAAGAAGCTGCCCATCCAAGCTGCTCATTATAATCTCTTTGTGGGAGGCACAGCCTCTGCAGCAAAGCTGCTGAAACAGACAGCGTGGCCAGCTCTTCTTGGAGCCGAGAGACAGGGAATTACGTTCTGCTGCAGACACTGCCATAAACCCCACAACTCTAGTAGGGAACACTTTCTTCATCCACCTGGTCTTAATTAAGACCTATGAATAACAGCAACCCCTCCATCCTCAAAAATCACATTACCAGTATCTCAGGAGATATATATTACATACCTAGGTCTTTTGTAAGCAGGACTGTAGTCAATTACCTTAACGCTGTTTTGAGATTAATACTGATTGCAGCCTGTGCTATATTTTAAAATCTTTGAGTAAAAGATGCAATTACTAAGAAGTATGGAGTAGTACTAAGAAACATTTTTCTACAATACTAATTCGAGCTGCTGTAGTAATCCTGGAAGGTATACCCATCCAGAACAAAAGACCACAAATGGAAAAATATTATCTTCAAATTCATGAAGAAGTAGCTGGCAAATATAAATTTGGCCTTTTATTGAAGACTGATGTGCTTAAAATTAATGAAGCTGCCACAAAAGTCTAACACTGACCCATGCTGAGGCACAGGTGGCATTGCTTATGTATTCTACTAATCTAGTAAAGTCTAGTTCGTCACTTTTCCAGAAATAAAGCTGCACTCATGATGATGGAATGTCAGTCTGAAATAATCAGTAGTGTGTTATTTACTGTACCCTTCCACTACTTTGTAGATATATAGATTTTCCCAGTACTTAAATGTACTTACAGTGACTGCATAATTTTATGATGTCTTCAAGAACAATACAAAACCCTACTCCTTTCAGCCTTACAAGCGAGACCTGACTTTTCCTGAAGCTTGCAGAAAGCAGCTCTCTTTTCCGCATTTACTACTGTAATGATTATCAGTTCCACCTACATAACTTTATCAAAAGCTATTTAAAAAAAAAAAGCTATCGTACTTTCACCTACCTGAAAGAGATGCCATTGACCAGCTGTCTGTGCCTACAGGTCTTGGATGAAAGTGATGAAGAAGCTGGAGACAGATTGAGTGGAGCAATTAGGCTGCTGATGATTTCACTCAGTTGTGCACTCTGGAAAAAAAAAAATATAAAAGGTAGTCAGACTTTGTTATACAGACTCAACAGCTCACAGGTCCTGGGTTTTTGTTGTTTTCCTACTTAGGATTCCAGTCACACACATCATGGAATAATCATATTTAGTTTTTTCTTGTGAATAATCAAGAGTGGCATGTTTTTTCTTTCACAATTATTATGTTGAACTATACAGGAAAAAAAAACCCAAACAAAAAAACAACACAACCCTGAACAATCAGCCAAGGACATTGTTTATACATTTGAATAAGTAGCACACAAAACACATTAGTGATTTTAGTATTTTAAACAAAGGTTTTTAAAAAGGCAAAAGAAGCCAGAACACTTTACAGCTGATGTTATAACAGCTGCAGCCCAGAGTTGCTAACTGGACATTCAACAAGCATTTCAACAGGGGGGTGGAAAAAAGTCTACTGTCTAGTCATTGTACATTTTGTTCACTCAAAGTATTTTTCTTGTTAAAAGAATCATCTGCATTGCTCACTGTAGTTTGACAAAAGTGTTCTTACAAAAGGAAGCGTAACTACAGGAGGGCTATTTTAACTACAGACAGAATGGCTAAAATCTTCCGGTATCCTCAAAAATAGCAACAAGAAGCCCCCACCCCACCAAAATGCAGACTTTCAGAACTGCCCCAAAACAAATGCAGCTAATTTATTAAGACTAAGAACTTATAAAGCAATGAATTGTGGACTGACTCCAGATAACATTTCACAACGATTTTTTTGTTTTAAATGTCAAACCTTAAAGGCTATTCTGACAATAAACGTAGCTTTCTTAGAGGAAACTGTGTGCTGCACACTAAACAGAAATGAAATGTATCTGAAATGGCATACAATTTTTTTTAAATTATTTTGTAGGATTTTCATTCAGAACTAAGAATGCTTAAAACAAGAATCGCTAAAGATTACCCAGTAAGTTTTGTTTACATTTTGAGGCACTACCATTTATGCAGAAAGAGGCAGGAAAAAAAATTTTCCATTTTATTACAACTCATGTCTTTCCTGTTAATGTTTAAGTGATGCAGTCGGGTAAAAATTTCATGCCAGAATAAAATATTCAGGGATGGATATCAAAGCACATAGCAAGTTAATTATAAAAGGTCTATACAAAGCAAACAAAATGCCAGTAAAGTATTTAGCAGATTGAATTCTGTTGAGATTTTAAAATCAATCTGTAAGGAGCAAAGTCTCTACTGAATATAAAAGCACCAAAATAGTGGCAGACTTCCAAAACACAAGGAAAAACATACATGTTTTTAAAACATTGCACAGCTATGAAAAGGACTTGAGAACAGTATTAATAAAACCTGCGAGGCTCAGTCACTTTGTATTCTTTATGGTTGTTTTTTGGTTGTTCACAAGTAAAATTATTTATTTTTAACAAAGAAATAATTTAACACAGGACTGAAGAATTCTGTGGGAATATCTGTGGATGTACTTCAGCCTACAGCATTGCTACTCCTGACACTGAACATGAAGAAACTCAGACCTTCAGAGTTAAGGTTGATTTACAGAGCTGATAGCCAAAAAGCAAATCAAACCCCAAAACTTTTTGTGGTGTAAAGGGAAGAAATCTGATGTAATCTGTGAGATGCATTAAATGAAGAACACCTTTACTTCCAAGTGATCTTCAGACCGTCAAAGTTCTTGGACCTCTGTTTGTAGCTACTCAGGGACCAGGAAACACGGTACTATTACTTTAATTGTCAAATGTCTTACTGAAAAGTGCGTTTAATTCTCCAAGTAATCACTTAAAGAGGGGACATTCACCACATTCTAAAAATGCTCTTTGGTTTACCTTGTGTAATTGCCAGCACTGAGCATATAAATTTCCTGTTTCATTGCTTCCTCACTCCTGTCTGTTGTGGATAAGATCTATCAAACAGGGGAAGCATTTTAAGAACAGGAAAGTATGACTATCAAATAAGAAAAATTGGCACAGAGATTCAGACACAGGCATTAGTACCTAAAGCTACTTTTACCCCATTTAAAAAACATGTGTATGACCAAGAATTTATGTACAGCAGCAGAGCAACATATTAATGCACCATACTGCCTTTGTCAGGTTTGCTTTATGCTAACTGCATAAATTTATCTTGAAAACAAATTTCCTGTATCTCCTTCAGCACATTCTTTATGTACTTCCTAGCAAAAGAAAACCCTGCTGGAGCCTGTATCGTATTTCCTGGAATTAACCTTGGAAATGACTGTTTTGAACACCATGAACTGAAACTCTGCTCACAGCTACGCCTACGCCATGCTTGTTAAGTACCTGGAATTCCTCAGCTCCTAACTGGAGTCCTATGATGCTTGAAAAGGCAGACCAACAATTATATTGTGTCGGGGCGTTTCCTTTTTTTTTGTTGTTGTTTCAAGTGCAACATACCTCCATCTTCAGCTGTACTCTTTCATCTCACATAAGTATTTCCTGAAACAGTCTGTGGCAACTCTACATTGAACCTAACTATAAAGGAGAAGCAGGTTTGTGGATAGCTATTAGAAGTGATTATGTGGCCGCTTTGATGGAAACAAAGCGGTAACACAGACACGTCAGAAATAAAAGCTTAATTTGTAAAGCTGGTGTACAATGTAGTTATTGAAGCTCTCCAATTCATCAGCACCCACTCTTGGGACTGTGAAATATCTTCCTTTTTGGAAGCCATCACCATGGAACCTGCCCTATTTCTGAAGTAAATCATTTGGCTCCATTGACCGTTCAGTTCTTATTTTACTTTACCTGTTTTTCTATGTTTCGTAAAAGCAGGGTAGGACTGCTGGGTGACATTTCAAAGTCATGCTCCGGCAAAGAATCCTGTCTCTCAACGGCAGCTTGCGAATTCCCTGTGGCGTTTAATAAAGCTTCTTGGTCTGTCAATTGTATTTGCTTCTTCAAAATGTCTTTTGGAAATGGGAATTCTTCTAAGATCACCATCCCCTAGACAACAGCAATTGAACAGAGTTGGTTGACAACAGATTAACCCTCCTAAATAATTTTTAAGGGGCAGTTGAACCTGGTACATCCCTCTTAAATCCTCCCAGCAATTCCTTGAGGCACTTAAACTACATTGTAAACACTTAACAGCTAAAATATAGAAATAGTAGGTATTTTCATTAATGAAAAACTGCACCATTTATGCTACTCCTTATAACAGCAATCGTTCTAGTGTTACACCACTGCTTAAACATCTGTGCCAAAATTCAAATCAGAAATTCATACTTATTAGAACAACTATATGATCATTTGCCTGCTGATTTGAGAAGAGGTTTTTCTGTAAAAAACAACCACCCTTTGATTTGAAGTTGGTTATAGTCTTTGCAGAGGCATTTTAAAGCGCTCTGTTTTTGTTATTCCTATCCATGTTCTAAGCAAAACATCAAGGTTGTTATTTTTTATGTAACAGAGATGGATACAATTCAAAACAAAAGCCTTTTACAATTTAATAATTTTTTTTTTTTTAAGGTGAGCATTTTTAGAGTTTCATAATTACAGAGGTAACTATCCTAAATATTCTAGCAATCACATTGCTTTTCAGTACAATCTGCACAAATGTGGTATCAGACATAGTCTATCATCTAGAATGTCACCTAACAAGATAAATATTACTTTATATGGTAGGGAAATAACAGTTTCATAAATGGAACTAGGAAAAGAATACCCCCATTGTGTTTTCCACATAACAGATTAGAAAAATAAAAGTGTCAAATACAATCCTAGGTAACATCTCAGTTGGTTTAACAACTTAAAATGTTAAACAAAATAATAAGCAAAATAACTTTGTAACAGTCAAAACAGTTCCTCAGATAGTCCCTTAATTTGTCATTATCTTGAGCAAGTAAGTTTAATACTTAGAAAAGGCTATCAAACCTCTGCAGGCTCTTTCCGAAAAGCAAAGGCAATAACTTACTTGCTTTTAATCAAGTTACTCAAATATCAAGCAGATATTGAAAGAACAGGACCATTCAATTACACTGCTTCAAATTTTTCTTTTTAGTGAGAATATCCCACTAAAAAGCAAGGGAAGATTGTCATCATATGAACACAAGGAACCCCTGTATTATTTCTTTTAGCAAGACAAACTTCACCTAGGTTGTGGCTGTGGAAAATTAAGGATCCTAGTTTTACTCACACCTTGACTCCTGCCTCAGCAGCAACTTGCCCTAAAACACAAAAGCAAGTCTCAAAGAGACTTCAAAGAGGAGACTAGGAGAAAACGTAAAATTGTCCTGTTCTCATTGTGTCTCTTATTCCCATTTGAGTTATAAATTCAAAGCTGAGAACAAAGATATTCCCTAAAACCAAACGTAGGTGCTTGAAAACTTGCTTTAGTGCCCCAAAGGGTCACAGAGAATCTGAATTTCCACACAGTCAACACTAAATTTTACACATTCGTTATCAGGTAGTAGCCCAGAATCCGTGCTTTTCCATTTACAGCAGATGGAAACGAATCCAGACAGTATCATACTATAATCTATAGACCAACAGCAGTTACAAAGTAGGCAGTATGTTCAAGGAAATTCGAGTATAGATCTAATTTTTATGTGCCACAACAGGAGGACAAGCTAGCTCAATACCTTTAGACTCTTTAGATCTTTTTAGTAAAAGAATCATAGGTCATGACCACAGCAAGAGCAAAAAAAAACCAACCCACAAATTCTGAAGTCAGAGGAATAGGAAGACATACAGGAAGAGTGGTGAAAAGAGGGGGGGACACTCCCCCCCCGGAATTTTATGTTTTTTAAGTTGCAGAATCCTGTTGACAAGCACGGAAGAGGAAAGCAGAAAAGCAAGGAGAAAATTGACAGACTGTATGAAAAGGTAGAGATGGAATAGGCACAGAAGAAAAGAGGAAAAGTAAAGAATTAGAAGACTTAATACTGACATGTAGAAATTATAAGTTAAATGGGTTATAACCAGTAGGTTTTGGCAATAAACTCCCTCCTCCCCCCTCTTTAAATGGAATTGTTTTGTTTTGCAGATACCCATTTTTTTAAATGGAAGGACTCTCAAAGACCCAGAGCTGCTCCTTCTGTGCACATACAGATGGAGAAGACACATTGCAGTAGGGCAGGAAACGGCCCACAGGTTAATCATCTCCCTTCCTATTGCATTATGGTGTTAGAGGAGTGGCATTTTGCTTGAAATCGTTGCTCACTGGCTATAAATCACATTTTTTTTCCACTCAAGACACATGAAAAACACTCTCAAACCATTAAACACAGCACACAAATCCTAATGATACTGTGTAACTACTTTGCAGCCACTAAATGAAAACGAAGAGCTCTTCTATCAGCCCACGTGTCCTTCCGTAGCTGCTGCACTGGTGTACTACAAACATGTATACCAAAAAATCACAGCTGAAGAAAATACGTGTCTGCCTTCACTATGGGACACAATGCAAAATACTGAATACCACAGCTGGTAAAATGGGCATGAAGTTTGCAAAAAGGAATGTCACTAAAGATCTCCAGCAGGAAGATGACTAGGCTCCAAGCCAACATACCACCTAATGTGAAGAAAATGCATGACTAAAAGAATGTTTTTTCTCTCATTTCTCTGTTATTTCTTTCTCAGTATTCTGCAGCTCATGAGACCTATGCCACCCTACAGGCTGATAGCTTTCGGGTGTAACAGTGTGCATGTACATGGTATTTAGGACAACACTAAAATACGGGCATTCTCACCCTTCACCAAAATACAAAATCTCCTTCCACTTTCAGGGGCACAGAGGCAGGGCAGACCCTCAAACAAAGGCTCTTCAATTATTTTTTAAAGAAAAACCTGACTGGGGAAAATTTGTGAGCAGGAGACAAAAAGTTGGATATGAAAAGAAGGGCTCTGAGGGCAAAAGGAGAAGCAGGAATAATTTTTCTGTATGTGATCAGAGGGAAATGCTCTCTGGGGTGATTTCCCCCTCCTTTTTCACTCCCTCTGAGTCTCATGTTCAGCCACATAAAGTCTAAAGCATCTTCTGGCTCCTCTCCATCTGTGCTTGTCGGACCCCAGCACAGATCAGACAACCCACATGAGGCTCATCAACCCAGAGTCAAAGAGCCCTCTCCTAAAACACCTTACTATCATATCACCAGAATTATCACAGGTTTTGGCATCTTGCACATGAGAATGACCTGGGGAACCCATTAAATTGATAGATAGATTACTAATGTTTTAGGAATGTGAGTTTCCCACTGTCTAGCCAGTTTGATTTACAAAAACTAGTACATGAGTTACACACATCGGAATTTTAGTAATAATTAATCCTTGACCTGTTCAAAGTGCCGTACAAACATTAACTAGCTAATCCTCAGAATAAACATGCACTGTAAATAACAAAAAAACCCACCCTGAAACCCCACAACACAAAAATGAATAAACAACCACCCCACCTGAAAAGGAAATCTTGCCTCTTCTGCAAAGGGAAAAACTAGTGTGGTAAATGCAGTACCTTCTGCTGGGCCTCTGAAAGTCACTAACAAAGTCACTATCTATCACAGATAGGAAGGCAAGAGTTCCCAACTCCCAGTCCTGTACTGATGCCTCTAGGGTACAATCCTTTTTAGCTCCTGATGTCTTTCTCATTAACCTTTGCATGTGATAGCCTGCATGGATACAAGAACTCTAGGGCAAAACAAACAACAACAACGACAACCCAAATAAATAAATAATACAAGAAACACCGTCAAAAGATTATTTGAAAAGCCCATTTATGAGCTTACAGACAATACCTTGGTGGCACGTATCTGCCTGTGAAGGTCAGTTAGTTGTTGGATTTTGTATTCTAGTTCTGAAATCTGGGCTTGAAGCCATGTCCAACGGCTGCCAATTCTAGCTCTGTCTGCAAGCCACTTCCATTCAGAAGTATAGCTGCTGTGAAGACAAAATGCTGGTTAGTCCAAAAATAAAGATAACCACATTTGCACAAGAACATTTTTGACAGCTGCTCTGCCTCATGTTGCAAGCATCTCAGTTGCTTTCAGAAGATATCTGATTATACCCATCCAGTTTCACATCAGCTTATTTGTGTAACTACAGAACTTGCCCAAACCAGTACAATCAGTGTTCACTGGCTATTCCCAGGCTAAGCTAGTTTTCTGTTCTGTATTATAAAACCCAGAGCTGGAGAAACTACCAAACTATATCAGTTAATGCAGATTACAGATTTGTAAAGAATTCCAGTAACTCCACCAGCAAGAATCCAAATTCTTACACCACACTTCCTCCCACAAGCTTCCACGAATATCGTTTGCTAACAACTGGAATCTAATAAAACACCATCCAGCAATTACCAGCTAGATATCAAGTCACTGCCCAAAAAAACAGCTAGGTAGTTTAGATTTCTTTTATTCAAGCTATTTTATAAATATAGCTGTGTCAGCATAGTAGTTAGGTCACTCTTGCTGTTTACCAATAGGTGTATTTTGTAAGACAAACGATATGCCGCCCGGTACTTGACATTGTGATTAGCTTAACTTTATTATGCTAAATTCATCACTGGTATTAGCAAACTTTACTCAACCTACATATTAAATAAATGTATGACGTAACAGTACTGCTCAACAAATAATCTTAATATCCAGTAAGTTTAAGGAACAGAGACAACACAATGCAGTATTTTAGTATGCAACTTTCACTAGTATCCTACCATTAACTGAATTTATTTATTGAAATAAATTGACCAGTGTTTTTTTCCTACTGAAGTTGTCAAGCAGTTTGCCATGGCTAACTTAACTGTAAAACCAAAATCAAACTTCTTCTGGAAAAGAAATGTTTTTACGCAAGTTATTGGGATAACTACTGGATCTAAATCCTGGATGACAGCGTATGGTAAGTTTTGCACAGCCAGAGTATGTGATCCCCTGGTTCCCCAGGCAATGAAGAGTACTGAAGTATCACAAAAGATACAAGAAAAAGCAGATGCCAGTGAATCGGCATAGGAACATCACAAGTGCCATTGTTTCATGCAGAATTGTGTGTCAACTATCTCAACCACAAAAGAAAGGTAATACATCATGCTGCAGAAGATGCTAGACGTTTCCTGGCACGAGTAGAGAATCACCAAATTTGAGAATCCTAGTATTTTCAGGGCAAAGGTTATAAAACATTATAACTCAAGATTCTCAGAACTTTCCGTCTACTTCAGCTATCATAAATAGTAAGAACAGACACAGTCTCTGGTAGGTTACCTCTAAAATACATAATTTCCCCCCTTTTAACATAAATTATCTGCCCACATAATTTACAACCAGCTTAAATTCTCTCCTACACAGACGACACGAACAGATGAAATTAGACAGGAGATTGAAATGTCCTGTTGAAATCCAAATTCTATGTGCAAGCAAATAAAGTGGATTGTCATCAGAAAGAAACTCAAAGAAACTCTATAAATATATAGTGTTACAAATTGTTTACATCTTATATATTCTATTAGTAATTTTGTCCTAGGAAAAAAGGCATATTAAGTCATCTTGTGAATATCCATTTTCCTGACAACCCCTTATTTCTCTTTGTTTTCCCATTATCACCAGCACATAGTAAACAGCCCTGGTTACTTATGCTTTAACCAGGTCTTCTTGCTGAGAACGTCTCTGGGATTGACAGTGTTTGCACATTTGTGCTTCTAGAAGTCATGAAATGCAGTTTGCGGGGAAAGGGGGATCCGAATTCCTAGTTGGCCCAAGTCAGAGTTCAATTAAATAATGTGTTCACACAAGCACGGTGGCTGAAAGAGCTGCTTAATGAGGCTGTAACAAATCCCATAGTTAATCATTTTAACAAAAGAAGTTAAATAGGAATAAAAAGGATAACTGGGAAAAACCCAACAGGAGTGTTGAGGTGCTTATTTCTATTCCTTTCTCAAAAGACAAATGAACAAACAAAAAACAAAACCCCACAAACCAGGACATCATAACAAGAAAGCCCAGGTGAAAGAAAATAAATCACACTGACAGAATTACCTCCCAAGCTAGATGCAACAGTTTGGGGAGAAAGGTGAGCTATCCTCAAACAGACCAAGGAGGAAGGGGGAGCAAATGAGAAAAATAAAAACTGCCCATACAGCTGGGAAACAAGAAGCAGAATGGAAAGGGACAGAGCTGGTCTTATGTCACATACACTGTATGAAATCAGCATGTCAGTAAGGGAATCCATAATCAATACCAAACCACAGCAGATAACAGAAGAACAGTTAAATACTGTAACCTTAAGACAATCAAATCGTATCCTCTGTACATTGCTGTCTTACATATTAAAAAAAAAAAAAATCCTCTGCAAAGTTACATCAAGTTATTTTTCAAAAACGTGTATGCAGGTTTTTTTCCTTAAACACAGTATTAAATTCTGAATTAATTGCATTCACTGTTAAATATATTATGTATATTTTTGCTTCATTCTAAAATACTATGCAAGTATTTCTCAAGGCTTTAAAGTGTACTATATAATTAAACTAACAGGATTTAATTACACTGTAATAATGATGTCCTTAGGCTGCTCTGTAAGGAAGAGTTTCCACCGAACTAAGCACAAACATTTTAAGCTCACGCCAGAGGAAGCAATTTTAGCTTCTCTCGTCTGCCAGCCCAGGCTGCCCCATGCCCAGCTCCTGCACAAGCACTTGAGCAGCTACACGGTAACATGGATTAAAGAGTTGCTCATGGTTAATTTTAACTTCAGAGGCAGGGTGAATGAAGCAAGTTTAAGTCTAGATCCCTTCCCCAGTTTTGATGGCTTGCAGACAGACAGACACACGCTGTTGCACTGCCACAAGGGAAGGGGCAGGAAGCTCAGGGCAAGGCTGTGAGTGCAAACTCACATTTATGGGATAGGTGAGAGCACTGCTAAATTCTGTTCCTGTCTCTGTCACTCGCATTTGTTTGATCTTGCATTATTTATTTACCATTTTTGCCTCTAAGTCTACTTCTCTACAAACTATTTAGTAAAGCTCGTAATTTCTCAGAGGAAGATAAAATCACTATAAGCTATCCTCACACTCCTAAAGCGAGCTGTTTCCATGCAAAGTAGTATGGTCACTCAAGTGACAAATGATAACATACTATTGCAACTAAAAAATAAAAAAATCTGTAAATCTGTTCCTGGGATGCTAGAGAGTAGAGCATAACATTCACTCAATAAGGAAAGCTGTTTCAAGGTGACACCAGCAAATTCATTAATTCTGCAAATCCACAGAAGGAAAAAAACCCCACCCAAACCCACAACCATAAAGGGTTACAAAAATAACCAGGCCTGTTACTGAAGGAGGAAGTTGGAGCAGGTGCTGAAGTAGAAGCTCCTGCTTTGGTTCTCTGTTGGGAATGAGAAAAGAAAAAAAAAAGTTTCTGTCTGTCCCGCTTCCTGTGTGCTCCTTTTGCAAAGCATCTTTACTTGGTTTCCGTGCTTTTGACTCTAACATCATACATCCTCCACAGGAATTTCAAATTCGTTCTTCTGCTGGCAACTCAATATAAACCACGTTACATTTGCAAAAGTTTCTAATGTTCAGTACTGTACTACAGTGAAATATTAAACTTACATATAAATTTAGTGCTCTTGCAATGACTTTAAATCTGCAGATGACCTCCTGCACTCATCCAGGACTATTAGAAGAGAACAGAGAAATACTGACTTTGTATGAATAAAACATCTCATTTAAATTTCCCTAGGAAAACATGCTGGAATTGCATCAGAGGCAAAATTTGTTTCCATGTGAGATACTGGCTTGCATTTCCCCTGGTTTGATTGAACTGCAGGAGGTCAGTCCTGCAAAACTTGCAAGAGAAGAAAGAAAGAAATGCAGAAGAACAAACAAGCCACAAGGAGCACAGACACAAATGCAGACAGTCAAAGTATGATCAAAAATATAACTAGGAAGCAGACGTACAGGCTGTGCTGTGTCACCCCAAAGTATGGGAAGGAATTCAGCTGGGGATCATCAGCACCAGCAGAGGCAGTATAAGCATTTCATCAAAGCTACTTGCTTTTGCTGAGACTGAAGACGCAAATGAAGAGTGCTAAATAATACATTGCTATTACAGTCAGTACTATTGCTTGAACTGAAAGAAGGTTTTAGCTGTGATCTATGGACAGAATATATGGATGAACCTCTCAGCACTCTCACCTTCCCCAAAAGAGAAAAGACAACTGGGAACAAACCATGGTTTTACGTAACCAAGCCAACATCAGAAAATGCAACAGGACTATGAGAAGATTTCCAGTGCTTCCATTATGTTGTGGGTTAGATTTATGTTTTCCCAATAGTTAAGATCAGTCTGTCCCAAAAACCAAAACCAGGCAACCTAACTGAGTGCAAAGGGGAACTGCTAACCAAAATAGTATTGCTGTGCTAGACACGTGCTGTTGTTTGGGTTTTGTGCGTGGGTTTGGGGTTTTTTTTTGTTTACAGGGGAGGAGAAGGGGTGGAATTTAAACCTTTTTATAAGCAAAGAAAACAAGAAGACTGAAAAACAGTTCATAAATAATGAAGGAGAAACACAGTGGTCTTTAAAATTAATAAAAAATACAGAACCTGGGATTGATAGCAAGTACCCAGGAAGGTTGGCTCAGGTAGGTAAGGTGAGCACAGGAGAAAGTATTTTAGAGCATGCAGCCCTATGCCCAAGGCAAGATTCTCTACAAGTATCTTATATCCTGAAAATTAAAAGGGAAGTGAGGCCTTCCAGCCTTGTAACGCCCAGTGAGAGCAAGTAACATGCCCCTACCATCACACGTCTACAGGGACAATGACAGGATGCTTCCTACTGAACAGGAAAGAAGGATGCTTGCAACAGACCCACATCAAAACTCCAAAACGCAGGTTTGCCAACTCAATACAGCCTCCTTCCAAAAGGTTTGTTTCAAAGAACACCAATGTTTTC